TGATGATGAAAAACCTTTTCTATCTGATGAGGTAATCGAACAAAGTTATGTCTTTTTATCTCATATAGAAAATATATTGGAGCAAAAGCTTGAAGAAAAGTTAGAAAATTTGTTGTCAAAGATCCTGGATAATAGCTTGCAACAATAATCAGCGTAGCTAAATAAAGCTAGTTGAGTTAGCGTTGCGGAATCTAACTTTCTAAAAAAGATTTTCAAGAAGCCATGAAACCAATATGAGTATGATGCAGTCTGCAAAGCCAGAACTATGCTTCAAAAAGCTATTCAGGAGGATTCGAAGAAGAAGATAACAGAGGTACAGGAGATGTTAAAACTAAGAGAATTCGTTCTAAGAGTTGTAAAAGAAGAAGGATGGAATGTGGCAGCAAAGATATCAAAACCAACCTCTAATAAAAATGATAAATTTAGAAAATTACTAACTGAAGCAAGAAAACAGGCAAAACCTTCTGAAAGATTTTACACATCATATAGCAGAGGAACCTAGAGAAGTAAAGGCAATTAGTGGGCCACTGGGCCAAGATGAAATTATTATGCACCTTACCTGTCACCATACTTACAACCACAGCATTATGTCCAGTACCCACCACCTATGTTTCAAAAGTACCAGAGTCAGAATGTGATCCCGAATCTGGGTTCAGCTTACCAAAATTCATATAACAGACCAGTAACAAAGCAGTTTAACTACTACTTTTGTGGTGGGCCAGTCATACAGCAGCATATCCATCAAAATTAGAAGAGAATAACTCATTAGAGAATAGATTTTTTCAAAACAAAAGCAGCAATAGAAGGTGACTACACTTGGGGAAAAAAAAAAACAAAATAACAATAATAGCGGACAATGCAGATTAGAGCAGGGAGGTTGTTGAAAAAATACATGAGCCAGCAACCGTGAGATATTGGATAGAAAAGATAAGACCCCTGCCAGTAGTAACTTGCTGGTTAAGGAACTTAGTGCTACTGTTTTCAAGGAATTTATGGAGCCTCGTTAAAAAAGAGGATCCGAAACCCTACAAACTAACAGCAGAACAAAAGGTGTAGTTGGAGGAGGAGTTAAATCAGTTAGAAAGGCTGGGTGCTATAAAAAAAGTAGGATCAGAATTGCTTCGCCCAGTTTTTCTATTAGATGTCTCTCCCATTTTCCTGGTGCCCAAGCTAGGCCCAAAATGTTATCACCTTGTAATAGACCTAAGGAGATTAAATGAAAGATTCTCAGAAAAATTATTTCAGTTCTAAGGGCTTGGAGGCCTATTGAAGTCAATTGGAAAAGTATAGTCTATGATTACATTAGACCTAAGAGATAGATATCACCATGTTCTAATAGAGGAGAAAGCTTGATGTTTTCTGAGGTTCCAAGTAAAAAATTTTTGGTACCAGTACCATGTGCTGCCATTTGGCCTTTTCCAAGTGGTTTGGATTTTTTTCAAAGATAATTTAGGCATTAGTCATCTATTGGAGATCAAAGGCTATTGCTTCAGGCTTCCATGTTGACAATATATTGGTAGCCCACTCTTCTGCAGAAATATTGGGGAAAATCTGGGACAAAGTTATCTTACCGGACCTGAAAAATTGTGGGTTTGTCCTGGCTTGTGACAAGAGCAATCCAGTGCCATCAAGAAAAATAAAGTTTTACAGACTGATTGTGAATATGGAAAAGATACAGATAATAATACCACAACAAAAGCTAGCAGAAACAAAAGCTTGTTTGAAGATACTGTTGAGAATAAATTAGATAACAGCCAGACAGTTGGCAAGGGTTATGGGCAAGGTCCAGAGTTTTGCAAAGGCCTTCGCTCTAACACAAGTAAAATATTTGGAGTTCTACTCCCTTATCAATACATCTAACCATCAGAGCTAGAGATAGGATGAAAAAATTTGTCTATCAGGTCAGGCAAAAATGGATATGCGTTAGTTGTTGGACAACCTGGGGACATACAATAGCTGCCCAGCCTAGAGACCATCATTAATAAAGAGCCTGTACATAAAAGCCTCAACAACTGGTTGGTGTGCAAAATTAGATAAACAAATAGTATTCGAAAATTGGCCAGAGGTTCTAAGTTTTCAGAAAATTGCAAAACTGGAAGCAGAAGCCTTCTAATTGGCCTTCAGAGTTTCGCAAATTTGTTGAAGGGCTTTTGGGTTTTAGTATTTATAGATAGTCATACAGCATTAGTGACAATGAAGTTAGGTAGAAAACACTGGTGGCAAAAAGAAACCTACAGAAATTTGTGGCAGGTTTGTTTGGTAAAGATATTTGGATCTACAAGATAAGGTAGATTTCTTCGCCTCTAAATCTGGCAGATTCTTGGACCTGGGTCTTTGACTCCTCAGATTGGCAGGTCAGAGAGAAGGTTTTTTAACAGATAGAGGCCATGTTTGGGCCACATTTAATAGATTGAATGGCATCACATCTAAATACAAAAGTGCAAAGGTTCAACAGTTATCATTTTTGCCTGGGTTCAGAAGCAATAAATTGCTTTACCCAGAAATAAAAAAATGAAATAAATTATGTGTGCCCCTACATTTGATACAGAAAGCTCTTGACCATGTAAAAAGTTGCAGAGCAAGAGCTACAATTGTAATCCCAGAATGGTTGTTAGCCAAATAGTAGCCATTGTTTCTAAAACTAAATTGGGAGACATTAATCACATTTGTGTCTGGCCTGTCTGGTCTTGTAGAACCTTGGAGGAACTTACAGTGGAAATTTTTGGCCATCTATATTCATCCATAAAGAAGTTGTTGGAGAGGACAAAGCAATTAGCAAAAAACACAGTATCTCCCTTCTACAAAGCTAAATCGAAAAGTATTGGGACCTTTATGAGAAATTTTATAAGAAGTTTGGT